CTCAATATACATTTTACTTGTTCCGAAGTCTAATCTATTCCTTTTTCCTATCGTATATTATAATTTATTTTCAATAAACAATAAAAAAAACTGCAAACATTTGCACACATCTGAGAGACAACATGGCCTCATCTGAAAAACTCAAGAAATCACAAAAACTTAAAATGGGAGAATATTATGGTTTGAATTGCTCAGGTTTACATGGTATGCCCGCATCAAGTATTCTTTGTTTACGCTAGAGGTTTCAACTCAATAATGCCAGCTAGATTTTTTACAATTTGACCTTCTTCGAAGAACCATGTAAGCTGAGATATCAGAGCTCTGAGGGTTAGAGAGTATGTGGTAACTGTGTCACCAGGGAAACCTGACATGTAACTTTGGTATCGTCCAATCGCGTAGAAGTCTGCAGTGAAAAGCTATATATATAATGAAATATACAACAGAGGGGGAAACAAATAAAATACGTTTGCAGACAAATTCAGTAAACATTTCTAGAAATATGTGTTATTTAGTGATTGTAACTTTTTGTCGTGTCCTATGGGTCTTTGTGACTAAATTATCAAAGTCATGTCTTTTGCTTCCGATGAATCACCAAAAGTCAGCAACCGTTGAATAAAGTATTTCAAATTTACAGACATTCCAGTAACAGTAGTAAGTCAATAATGGATTATTGCATTTTCGAAACGGACATGGTTGAAAAAATCAGAACATCTTCCCATTTAATGACTTTACAAGCCATTTTTCTGGCCCAATTACCAATGAGAGGCCCGCCCCCGGCTATAGTAAGTCCTTGGTGAAACAACCGACTTAACCTATCGGACTGGCAGGATTTATCCTCTGATAGTGTATCAAAATAAAATTTGTGTATGATCTTCAATATATTTTACGGTCTAGATAATTAAATAGATATACCTGTTGAGATTGCCCATTAAAGCTAAGACGGCAGATGAGAAACAATAGTTAGGTTATCGTTGTACAGCCTTTAAATATATCATTAAATCCAACTATTATAATAAAAAAAATCCAATCTAGAACTGTTTCAGTCTTTCTATCATATAGCCAGATTAATTATGGCGTGACGTAAAATTCAAGTTAGAACAGATAAATCAAATGGTTTCCGGTTGATGCTAAATTGTCACCTGACGGACTGTCTCGGGTAACTGCAAAAAATATGACCTTGCATGCTCCCCTCAAAAATATATGTTTGTCCGTACGGAAAAGTATTTTGTTTTAAATCTATCCTGAATCAAAAGAACCCGTCTAAGAAGATGAATTATAATTTTCATATTTCACTGCCAGTAAATATGAATACATGAGCCGTAAATAAAAAGTGCCTACAAAGGGCAATAACTCCTACTAAAAGTGGGTGTCGCATGACAATAACAAATGTTCTGCTTTCTTTACATCTTCTTTTACACCATCAATCTGATACAGGTTTTAAAAAAAAAAAATAAAAAAAAAAACATACGTATGGCAAATTTGTTCTAGGTGTTCAAATGTGTGTACAATGGCTGTCCGGGTTTTCTGAACTCGAGCACAAAGTGATTCAGCCTGACATTTGTTGCCTCTAAAATTTCCTTAATCTCTCAACTGGAAGATAAATGACTTGCCAATGGCAAATTATAAGCAACATTCTTTGTGCTTTGTCTGTGCTTTGTTAGGGAAAATATTCTGACTGATAAAACCAAAAAAATCCCATTTTGTTGAATTTGAACTTATCCCTGGGTATTTTGTATTATACCCTTTTTACTGCCTTTGCTACATATACACTGTGGAGATGACTACGTGTAATAATTAGGAAATTGATCACAGATGTACCCTAAGCCAAGCTTTTAATGGGAGACAAATTAGATTTTTTCAGCTCATGTGATAAATCTAGATTTATCTCAATTTGTATTTGATTAGGTTTTTAACTACCTGAGCTAAAGATGTAATAGCTACAGAATTTCTTCTACATATAAAAATCAATCAATCATCATGATGTTATAGATACTGGGTAGTGTGAATCATAAAACAAATATAATATCAAAAGCATGTGGTGGCATTATTAAGCATTATCCCTATAATTTTAAAATCAACTTTCTTTTTTCTTTAAACCCGATTTCAAGTTAATAGTATTGTTTCGGGCCAATTTTCACCTACACAAAGTCCTGTTATACCGTCGTCCAATTTTCACCTACACAAATCCCTGTTATACCGTCGTCCAATTTTCACCTACACAAAGTCCTGTTATACTGTCGTCCAATTTTCACCTACACAAATCCCTGTTATACCGTCGTCCAATTTTCACCTACACAAATTCCTGGCATACCGTCGTCCAATTTTCACCTACACAAATTCCTGTTATACCGTCATCCAAATTCTTTTATATAATTTCCCACATGAGTCTTATAGACTTTGATCTATTAAAGTTGCAAAAACATGTTTGCTGTTGGAGAATCATAGATTTTTAGCAGTTGAAGACTTAAGCTTTTCAGCTGCTGAAGCCTCATAAATTTTCAGCTTTTAAAGTGCGGGATGTTTTCTATTTTTTTTTTTTTTAAATTCTTCTTGATATATAGCAGTTGAAGCTTCATAGAATTTCAGCGTTGACGGAAGCCTGAAAAATTTCATAATAAGATGTTGAAGCCTATATTTTCAGCTTTGAAGCCTCATATATTTCCAGCTGTTAGTCTTACAGACTTCCAGAATTATGTGTAGTGTATTATATTGTATATAGTTATGCATATATTATTGATAACAGTTGTATTTTATATATAATTTCTGTAGTGTATTATATCGTATATAATCATGCATGCATTATTGATAACAGTTGTATTTTATATATAATTTCTGTAGTGTATTATATTGAATATAGTTATGCATGTATTATTGTATATAGTTATGCATGTATTATTGTATATAGTTATGCATATATTATTGATAACAGATGTATTTTATATATAATTTCTGTAGTGTATTATATTGTATATAGTTATGCATGTATTATTGATAACAGTTGCACTTTATATATAATTTCTGTAGTGTATTATATTGTATATAATCATGCATGCATTATTGATAACAGTTGTATTCTATATTTAATTTCTGTAGTGTATTATATCGTATATAATTATGCATGTATTATTAATAAGTACATTTCATATATAATTTGTGTAGTGTATTCTAATTAGAGCATATCACCAACCTCTGTAGGTGTCTGTACTATACTTCCTGGTATGATCATAACAACTACATAGCCTTAACATGAATTGCTATGATATTACCTCGTTTATATAATTTGTGTAGTATATTATGATAAGAGTACTGTATAACTTCTTCGGTATTATAACATACAGCCTTAACATGAATTGCTATGATATTACCTCGTTTATATAATTTGTGTAGTATATATTATGATAAGAGTATTGTATAACTTCTTCGGTATGATAACATACAGTCTCAACATGAATTGCTATGATATTTCCGCGTTTATATTATTTTTTTCTGATTGTTTGATGTTGATATAGAGTATATGAATCTTTGACAATTTTCTAATTGAAAAGTTTCAGTAAAAAATCGACTAATTATCCTATCCTGTCCAATCCCTCGGCCTGACATGAGAAATGATGATTATATACAGACTGCAGTATACACTGTTGTATAACCAAGACGATATGAAACATCAAATTCAATATTCAGACCGCAAGTTAAAATCAATTAAATCATCTTCAGTTTAAAATTTATCACACTTAAGAAAGAAATGGTTTGAAAATATTTTGTGAAGCTTCTGTTCATTTCATTTGAATTCAAATTACCGTAGCATAATTTCTCATCACATATTTCTTTGTACAACCAGCCTGGAGTTCTGACAGAAATAGTGGTAACCAATATTCACAAATACATCAACCATATATCTTCACTCCAACAGACCTTGTACATTTATGAGGTTTATAATTCCATTCCAACAGAAATTTTACAACTTTTGAGTTCTTAGAAAATCCAAATTGACAACACATGCTTTTTCCCACTATGGCCTGAATGCCATAAACAAAAGTTAATTCAATTAGCTTATAGGTGAATAGCCGGTTCAGTAAGTCGTTCTGTACAGTGTTACACGAGACTAAATTTGGCCAAAACAGATCTAAGTAACACCAGGAGTGCATCAATGGAAAATGTTGAAAATTAGGTATTCAATAACGAACAAATATCGAAAGAGCATTAACGTGTTTTAAGATGTGTAGACATGAAAATGTCTGAATGCCACGCAAAACAAGGCATTAAAGAGTAAAACATTCATAGAAGTGACTCAAAAAATGGGGAAGCATGCCAAGTCATAAACAGTCCCGATATTGACTATAAAAACTAGTATTTTACAGTACTAGATTAGCTCCAGTACCTGTAACTCCGATCAGGGGCTAATATCACCTATCATATAATGGTTTGTAACAGTAACACAACATAATACCCATGCTCCTATCAAGCTTGAACATTTATTACACCCTATCTATTCCTGTATCACAACCTCACTCCACATTCAACCCTTGAACAATCCCAACCACAAATGTTAAATGACAAGGCATTTAATCACATTTCAACTAATTAATAATAGACATATTTAATCAACAAATTAATAATAGACATATTTAATCAACAAATTAATAATAGACATATTTAATCAACTAATTAATAATACACATATTTAATCAAGTTTTGTTTGTACAGTAGTGTGTTTCAGTTGTAAATCATTGGTAAAAGAAATCATTGAGATCGTTTAAAACCCGAACAAATTAAACTATCACCTGTCAAACCCAATTATATGAAATTCCCACCTGTCCAACATTTTGTATGACATAATAATGTATTATTAAACGGGTCATCTCACTTTTGAATAACCATTTAACTTAGCTCACCTGTGGTGTTAAAATCTTATCTCACTCTGTTACGCTAAAAAAAAAAAATCACAAAGAATAAAGTTATCAACAACACTGTCACAACGTCAGGTGTCAATACTGTCTTACCTGTGTGTCTTCTGAACTGTCTCCGGAATGAGGTACAATTATGTCACGGTGGGGCGTGTCCTGTTCCCCGGGAGGGTGGTCCTGACCCCACACAGGGGCTAACATGACAGAATTGGGTGTTGGTCGGACAGAATTGTGATCCTGGGTCGCCACTATAGGTTCTCCCACTATAACACACAGATGTTATACTCCATATAGTGAAACAATTAACACCTAGTATCCGATACACACAAATTAAACTAGCAATTCCTTAAACTAAATGTCCTATTGTCTCCCGTATCATCCACGATGAGGTGCTGAATGCTTCCCCTGGTTTTTATATGTGTGGCGTCTCCGTATCACTACCTTCCTAATTCACACTAGTTCCAATGAGGAATTTCCACGGGGCAAAACTTGGTATAGCCAGTGTTGTGCAGGCACCGTGGTCCCCACGACAGCCACACGCAGGAGCCTCCTAAAGAGCCAGACTGTCTATCAGATATTGAAACTCTGGGCTACTCGTCAGAGGAGGACCAGTCTACACTATAACACCAGGTACAATCACAGTCTATATTGGATAAATAGAATTCCAGAAAGGTTATATACACCTCTCTAGTGATTAACAAGGTTTCAACACCAGTGTGTATCACCTAAGATTTCTCCGTCAGGTACAGGTACGTGGTTTTATTCATATCTAACCTTCCTTTTCAGAGATTTTTTCTGGGCTTAATTTTGTCTGTTTGCTTATTCACATAATTTATGAATGTTTGAGGGGTATACTGTTGACGACTTGATATGGCTTCTACCATCCAGGATACTATAAAACATGCTATAGTACAAAGTCAATATATCGGACACACTACATATGTATACACAGCAGTATCACATATATTCATATACACAGCTGTTTTACTTTTCTTTTAAATGAAGATGTAATTAAATATCAACTTTTTTTTTTAAATATTTCTACCAAAGATGACATTCATACAGAGGTATGATAGTACAGGTGTGATGTTTTTACCTGACATGTAAGATAATACAGGTATGATGTTTTTTACCTGATAGGTATGAACCTACCTGTGTTACATTACATGTGTATCATCCAGTGTTATAAAAATATATTATGGTATGCTTTTAAACATTACTTATCACCTCTTTTCACAAGTAGATGATTCTATCTCCATATCTTTATTTTATGATTTATGAATGATATGATTTTCGGAGAGTTAGGGACAAAACTGTTGCAGTATGTGTCTGCCATCAGACCCTATATATTATACAGAATGGGTTTGGCAGCCTTTGTGCTACAGATTACATCTCTACACAAACCCTGTATCTGTATCCAACTTATGTGGCTTAGGTAGGAACCCTTCCTAACACTAAACTGTATCAAAGTTTAAGACCTGCTATACACAAAGCTAAAGTACATCACATTTTTTGATATCATGCATATGCGTTCATTTAAATAACCATACAATAATTCACCCGTTAAACCTCCCTATTATTTCAACCACCTGTTTTAATTCCTTATAGACACTTAAAACTTTTTCATTTTAAAAATGTCTTGTTTTCTTCTATTCTATGTAACATAAACAGAAGCCAATCCATTCTTACTTTGTCTTGTGCAGCGCGTCAGCCTCATATCATAAAACTAAAGTTAAAACACAGGTGGTGTGTTACTCTCATACTGAATAAGGAAAGATTCTGTAGACCTCCTTCTCCAAACATACCCCTGCACTGTCCAGATACCCAGTTCTACCCCCTAAAGAGACATACCGAAACACTTCTTGTACCCTCTCTGGACCATCTATACCCTCTCTGGACCAGTTATACCTTTTCTGGACCATTTACATCCCTTCTGGACCATTTATACCCTCTCTGGACCATTTACATCCTCTCTGGACCATCTATACCCTCTCTGGACCATTTATACCATCTCTGGACCATTTATACCCTCTCTGGACCATCTATACCCTCTCTGGACCATTTATACCCTCTCTGGACCATCTTTACCCTCTCTGGACCATTTATACCCTCTCTTGACCATTTGTACCATCTCTGGACCATTTATACCCTCTCTGGACCATTTACAGCCTCTCTGGACCATCTATACCCTCTCTGGACCATTTATATCCTCTCTGGACCATCTATACCCTCTCTGGACCATTTATACCCTCTCTGGACCATCTATACCCTCTCTGGACCATTTATACCCTCTCTGGACCATTTATACCCTCTCTAGACCATCTATACCCTCTCTGGACCATCTATACCCTCTCTGGACCATTTATACCCTCTCTGGACCATCTTTACCCTCTCTGGACGATTTATACCCTCTCTGGACAACTTCGACCTCTAATAGCTCCCCATTTCCTGTCAGTCTTAAATTAATCAATTTCTAACATAGCTTTTTCCTATATATTCAGTGTTATCTTCTTACAGGAACACACAGGTTGTCATCATAATGCAGCTTTCCTTCCCACCAAATCATCAACGTTTGCTGTTCAGCTATAATATTACGAGACAATGTCATAATCAAATCATTGGTATTGAATGCCTTGATGAATACAAACCCTCTAAAAATATTTAAATTGTTCATAAAAGAAAAAAAAAATGTTTGTACACAAATACTCAAAATCACCAATCCTTTGGCTATTTATTATTGACCTGAAACCACAGGAAAAGCCTGAGCTACTGTGGCAGGCTATTTGAGGGGTGGCTTGATTGTACCTAACGGAGGCTGTTAAGACGTTCCGGGCGGTAGTGTTACGTAATGCCACCACCACAGACCCCATTTCTCTACATAACCACTAGCAATTTATTCAAACATAAAGAAAAAACTTGTTATTTTCTATGTACATATGACACTAAATGTAATCAGAATACTAACAGTGCAGTCGTAAAATTACCATTATAAAGACAAGTGTGATAGGAATTGGCCGAAACAAAACATGAAAAGAGGCGAGCATATCAATCATTCCTGTTTACAAAGTCACTAAAAAATGAAATAAAATTATAAAATTCTTGCTGGCCGCAGAATATATTATTGTAACTGCTTTGTAAACTGAGCAAACTCTGGTATAAAATGTCTTAATAAAATAGTAAACCCATCTATAGTTGTCTAATTATATAGTAGACTCCTCTATATTTGTCTCTTAGTTATATAGTAAACTCCTCTATATTTGTCTTAGTAAAGTAGTAAACCCCTCTATATTTGTCTTAGTTAGATAGTTAACCCCTAAATATTTGTCTTAGTTAGATAGTAAACCCCTCTATATTTGTCTTAGTTAGATAGTAAACTCCTCTATATTTGTTCTAGTTAGATAGTAAACTCCTATATATTTGTCTTAGTTAGATAGTAAACCCCCTTTTATTTGTCTTAGTTAGATAGTAAACTCCTATATATTTGTCTTAGTAAAATAGTAAACCCCTCTATATTTGTCTTAGTAAAATAGTAAATCCCTCTATATTTGTCTAAGCTATATAGTAAACCCCTCTATATTTGTCTAAGCTATATAGTAAACCCCTAGATATTTGTCTTAGTTATATAGTAAACCCCCATATATTTGTCTTAGTTAGATAGTAAACCCCTCTATATTTGTCTTAGTAAAATAGTAAATCCCTCTATATTTGTCTAAGCTATATAGTAAACCCCTCTATATTTGTCTAAGCTTTATAGTAAACCCCTCTATATTTGTCTAAGCTATCTAGTAAACCCCTAGATATTTGTCTTAGTTATATAGTAAACCCCTATATATCTGTCTTAGTAAAATATTAAACCCATCTATATTTGTCTTAGTTAGATAGTAAACTCCTATATATTTGTCTTAGTAAAATAGTAAACCCCTCTAGATTTGTCTTAGTTAGATAGTAAACCCCTCTATATTTGTCTTAATTAGATAGTAAACCCCTCTATATTTGTCTTAGTTAGATAGTAAACCCCTCTATATTTGTCTTAATTAGATAGTAAACCCCTCTATATTTGTCTTAGTTAGATAGTAAACCCCTCTATATTTGTCTTAGTTAGATAGTAAACCACTCTATATTTGTCTTAATTAAATAGTTAACCCCTCTATATTTGTCTTTCCTTGTCATAATGAGTTATCTTTCCTTGTCATAATGAGTTATCTTTCCTTGTCATATTGAAATATCTTTCCTCCTCATATTAAGTTATCTTAACTTGTCATTATGAGTTATCTTTCCTTTTCTTTCTTTGTTGAAGTGAGTTATTCTTTGTAAAAGACAGTATTTCATCTGTAAGCTTTTGATCTTGGTCATTTCCTATAAGACTGCAAAAATGAACCACACATAGTTTTATGTTGTAATAAGAAGTGAATTCCCCAACGATATAGGACTGATTTAGAATGCGGTCAGTTTCCTGATTCACACATAGAGGAGACCAGAAGTCACTCCTGTAACATTAACACCCACGTAACGGCTGTGTGTGTGATGATCTCTGACGACTTCTACAAGCCTGCTACTATACTCCAGAAGGATGGTAACAATACCCTGGAGGGGTCAAAGTAATTTATTGGCTTATTACTAACTTACTTAGAGAGATATAGGAACACTACTGTAGTAGTCCCAGGTTTCAACAGCTTAAAAGGCCACCATCTTTTTTTAAATTCAATAGATGGTTTATTTATTGAATCATTTGCAGACTAAGGATGTGAGTGATGTTTAGTTCCCTGACACTTATATGTATTAATGCTGTTAATCTTGACTCGTCCCACAGAAGTTAATTCAAATCAAAAGGTTAACCTGCATACCCTGTACGGCTGTACTTTCAGCCTGGCCTGACGAAGTGTTCTCAATTTCACTCTAGAGAGAACTCTTGCACTCATACAGACCCTAGATTAATTAAACTTTCAAGCATCAGGGTATGGATAGGAAGTATAATTTTTTCAGGTGATGTATATATATATCGTATTAACTGTAATTAGTACCCCTCTTCTGGGTGCTAATTACAGTGAACATGTTTGAAAATTGAATAGCACAACTTTTTATCAATTAAATCAACAAATTTTGACAGCAATTTAATTAACATCCACACACTATTCCTGTCATCTTAACGTTATTCAATCAGCAAATGTGTCTATATTTAGATACCATATGACCTTGACCAACTTTGAGACTTACCAGAATTCTCCAAACCTTATTACAGTGTCTGTATTCAGAGTTACAATGA